TCCACATGGCGCAAATCAATTGGTTCATAAAATTAGGGGCTATGTGCAACAAAAATTGGAGGAAAAAAAGAGCTCACGTATGATCACGCGCAGCCCGTGGACGATAAACGTGCCACGTGTCGCTCCCTCACTGGCTGGAAGAAAAATGGTGTGGCCCACATGCTGCCACGCTGATGCAATTGTCGTCTGCCAGCCCTTCAAAAGTGCCTAACCACACGTGTTTTCCACGAGCCCATCCTGGTCGTTGAACGTTTTGATCCGGTGGCTGGAAAAATATTTAGATTATATTTTAAATTATTACTAATTATTATTTTTATTTATTTATTTTAGAGTTATTTGTAGTTTGATTTTTAAAATTTTAACTCTATTTTGCATCGAATTTTCACTACTACTTAGATAAAAATGTTATAAATAATTAGGAACAAAATAAAATGTGACAAAATACTTTAAAATAAAATAACACCTTATTAAATAAAAAAAATTAATTAATTAAACAAAATAGGTCCATACCAAAAAAATTTCATAATTAAAAAGCTCCACCACACAGGCCATACCAATTATTGTTATTATTATTTATTATTATGTTTATTTATTTATTTATTTTTAAGTGATTTGTGGCCCTATTTTTAGCACCGTTTTGCACCAAATATCTAATGCTATACAGATAAAAATATATAAATAATTTATATAAATTATAAAATTAAATAAATTAAAATATTTTTTCTCCATCTTTACTTCATATCTTTTTACTTTGTTGTCTTCACATATATGGCTGTTATTTTAAGTGAGTCACGCGCGCACAGAAAATTAGTATCATTCTATATGCATATGTTATTCTGATCAAAGTGCCGTGTCAAAAATTCTGCAAGTCTTCCTTTGAGAGTATGCTTGTTGACACCTTTTGTTTATCTCTCTCCTCACTTTTCTCTCTTTCTCTCAAAAAGAGACACTCTTTTTCTGCACTTCTCTCTCTAAGCAGACCAAACCCTACACGAACTACTTATTTATAAACTCATATGAACCATAAAATAACTCTTGCCAAAAATAGAAAACGGTAACTTACCTAAAAAAAATACAAAATAATTACTTTCCCAAAACCAATTTGAGGCAATCACCTAACAATCTCCACATTAATTCAAATTCTCTCAACTCACTCATTTGGGTATCCAATCTCGACACTCGTCATTACACTCCTCATGGATGGGATGACAACAATGCTACTTCAACAAGAATATACATGTCTCGAGTTCAAACTTTTATAACTTGACACGATGAACCAACTTCTTATTTTTCTTCAAAGCATCTTCATTGCCATAATTTTTCATCATCTAGCCTTTTTTATTGTCTTTAACTATCATCATCTTGTTGCACTTTTTTACTCCTGCAACTTTTTTCACAATAGAAGAAGACTTTTCGTGGCTTGGTTTTACCTTTATAGCTACACCTACAACTGTAGTCCTAATCAGCTTATACAAGTTTTTCATTTTTACACCCCTCATGGCTACTACATCACCTTGCTTGACTTCTATAAAACCATCATCCGCATAATACTCACACCTTAAAGTGTCTAAAGCCCCTAAAGTAATTAAACTTCTCCTTAATTGAGGAACATGTCTAACATTTATCAATGTTCTCACAACTCCATCAAATATCTTCACCTTCACAGTACCTATTCCAATAGCTTTAACACTAGAATCATTGGCCATCAACAAAGTACCAGCATCACAAGTCTTATAAGAATCAAACCACTCCTTATATTGGCACATATGAAACGAGCATCCAGAATCTAAGATCTAAGAGTCATAAATATTTTCATCAGTGATAACAGAATACACATCATCTTCACTATCATACCTGTTGCCAACAACATTTGTAGAATCTAAAGTCTCTTAAATTTCTTACTTTCTCTTTTCTTCAAGGTGCTTTGTCAGTTCTTTACAGTTTCTCCTAATATGTCCCTTCTTATGACAATAATAGCACTCAATATCCTTCCTTGGACGAGATTAGGAATGATCATCTCTTATCATAACATTTCCTTCGTGAGTTGCCCCTACCCCTATTCGAATCTGACTGTGTCACTAAAACTTGTTCAGTATGAGACATAACACTAGATTTTTTCATTTTTGCAGTCTCTAACAGAGCAGTCAATACCTCATTCATAGTCAATGTTGTCTTTCCAACTAACAATATAATCACAAAATTCTCATATGATTTGGATATGGAGGACAACAAAATTATCGCTTTATCTTCCTCATGAATTTTGACCTCTACGCTTAATAATTGAGTTATGCACTTATTAAAATTATTTATATGATCCCTAACATCACTTTCTTCATCTATCTTCAACTCATACAATTACTTCCTCAAATATAGTCTATTTGTTAGGAATTTCGACATATAAACTTTTTCTAATTTTTTTTGTTACTCAGAAGGAGATGCTTCATGTAACACCCTAAAGAATTAATTAAGATTAATTTAGGTAATTGAGATTATTAGTGTGCCTAATCTGGATTATTAATTGAGTTTAATTAATAAATGTTTCTGGCACGTGTGAGTTTAAATAGTTCTAAGGTATTTAAATTATTCTCAGTAATTTATTTTAAACCAGAAGTGTGTATGGGCGCATTTCTGGACTGCTCTTTTAAAATATTGACACTTGTCCATTTTCTTTCCTTTTTCTTTTTCTTTTCTTTTTCTTTCCTTTTTCCTTTTCCTTTCTTTTCTCTTCCTTTCCCGTACGTCTCTCTCCCTCACTCTTTCTCTCACTCTCCCGTGCTCTCTCACTCTCTCTCTCATTTTTGTCCCAAATCAAACGAATCTTGAACCAAGTAAAGATTTAAAGAAGTTTTCAACGTCAAGAGAAGGATTCGAGGTAAGATTACTGAAAGAACCTCTCTTGAATCTTAAGTTTTTAGATTTCAAAACTTGTTTTTTGTTCAAACCGGATTTTGATGGTTTTTAAGTAAAACTAGAGTAGAAATTAGAGATCTTGGGTTCTTTGGACTTGTTTTAGGACCTAGAACCCAGATCTAGTGGTTTCCCTTTGAAAAATCTCGATTTGGGACTGGATTTGTAGGTTTTAGATTGATTTCTGTGAGCTTCTCTCGCACAGCTGATTCCACCGGTCGACCAGTGCGGTCGACCGGATCACATGGAAATCGGTCGACCTATGCGGTCGACCGGACTGTAAGGCTGACCGGTCGACCGGTCCGGTCGACCAGTGTGCACACTACCGGTTGACCGGTAGTGTTGCATTGCTCTGTCACCGGTCGACCGGTTGACACGGGGTTTGACCCTGTTTGGCCTGAAATTGCTGTTTTGACCCCTGTTTTCGGGGAGAACCCAAATTAGCTTCATTTGGGGACTTGAGATAGATGGATTAGCATTGTTAATCCTTATTTTGAGATTGAAAACCCTTGAAATGATAATTTGAAACATGAAAATGGATTAGGGCACACTAATAGGAAATCTTGGTTGGAAATTGAGATTTGGATTGCTTTAGGAATGAGAATTAATCCTAAAGTGTTGTCTTGCATCAGTGATCGCTGAGGATCAGACTGAAGGGGCTTGAGGAAGTGAAAGCCAGGAAAAGGCAACGCTAGTCCCAGGTTTGATAGTGTGAGGTAGGATTTCTATCCCTTTTCCTTGCGAGCCTGTTTTCAAAAAGGATTTCGGCCTTGAAAATGTTTTAAAGAAAGGGATTGGTTTGTGAAAAGAAAATGCTTTGAAAATCATGGCTTGTTTAGTCATGGAACCTCATGGCTTGTCCAGTCATGGGGCCCGCGGCTTGAGTAGTTCGTGGGGTCGTATTAACGATTTCAAAATGTTAATGAATGATTTCCTAAGCAAAGAGATCTTGTGAACTGGTAATAGAGTCTATTGCTGTAAGCCTAGATAGGATGCGGAGAGTGCATCCTCGGGGGCAGAACCTGAAACTCGGTCCGGGTAGGCGAGGCACTTGGTTAGGTAAGTAATTTGTACTAATTACTTGCTAAAGCCTGTAAAACGGTTATTTACAGTTACTTTTCCTTTGAGAAAAAGGATGTGAGGTTCCGGCTGTTCTGTCGGGACTGAATGTCTTATTTTATTTACTTATTTATTTATGTATTCCCTCACACATTTATTGTAACGTTATTCCAAATTATATCCTACTGGGCCTTTCGCTCACGTTTTATGTTTTAAATATATTAAACCCCTCCCAGGAGATTCTAGGAGCGGTGCACAATAGCTGGATATTTGCTAC